AATGAGAATACATTTCCTACCAACAATAGTTTATCACATAGTTTGCGCTGCAAGTGATTTAATGTCAATTCTTTTGAGGGTAGGCTGAGAAGAAAATACCCGGGGTCCCTTTGGAGCCGATTCTTAAAGATATTACTTCGTTCTTGAGATATGGAGCTCCAAAAAAGTGCCAGTTTCTTTTTGACATTTACTACAGACGAGGGAAATATGAGGTGTGATCTTATGCAAAGCATTAGGAGCTATGTATAGGCAGTGTAGGATTTTGTATTGGGTGAAGCTTGCGAGAAGCAAGCAGTTGCAAGTAAGAGTGGATCTGCCTATGTTAATGTGCAAGACTGTGGAATTTTGGAATTTTTAACACAATTACGAACTTGGAGAAACCGCCAAAAATGGTCTCTAGGAATGTTAGAATTTGACTACAGTTGCTCAAAGTTCATCAGTGTGTTGTTTTGAAACAAGTCGCCAATTACCCTTAATTGATTTTTGTGCCACTTATTGAACATACTGCTCGACTGGAACAAATCCTTTGTTTCTCAGTAAAGTAGTCAAGAATGAAGTGCAGTCTTCTCTACCCAACCTTTTACACATTTCCCTCCAAACCCTTATTGTATTATAAATAATTGGGTTATTCTTAATCTCCATTTTTTTCTTAATCTTAATCTTAATCTTAATTTTTTTTGTCACAGACAACTAAGAGGTTCAAGTGCTAATGCAAATAGGAGAGGGCACAGCCTTGCCTCTCTGCAGTGGAAATGCTGATGATTGTGCACCATTAGTTATGACACAAGCTTTTGAAGTTTGTAAAGAGTTTTAATCCATCCAATAAAACCTTCGCCCAAGCCAAATCTTTTTAATACATTAAATAAGTATGTCCACTCTGTCAAATGCCTTTTCAGCATCTAAGGATATAACATAGGCTTTATAACTTGTCTGATTCGAGTATTGTACAATATTTAATTGTAGATGAGAAACGATTTTGGATAAAGCCTGTTTGATCAGGGTTTATAAGAAGCCTGCTTACTAATAGCTTGGATAGTAATTTAGCATCGACAGTGATGAGGCTGATCAGCCCGTATGATGAGGTCTGAGTTAGTTTACACTGATGTCGCATGTTAGGGGTTTTCTCCTCACACTAGTTTGCCTGATAGAGTTCATAGAGTTTAGAAGAACACGCTTCAATTTCACAGCACATCCTGATGCTTCACACAAACCAACAGAAGCACTGAAAGACACCAAGAGTCTCCTCATTATCCCCAAGAGGCAATCAGCAGGCACCAC